ACAGAAGTAAATTGCCCAGCCTTCCTTCCGAGGAGTGGCTGGTGGGTTTGTACTGCCATCCTTCTGGTTAGCAGTCAAAATAAGCAAGAGTGTCTAGCTTCTTGGTTAATAGATAGAAAAAATATATCCCTATAGGAAGAAAGTAGTTAAATTCCAATGTACAGAGATTGGATGAGCATACAGATAAATGTGCATAAGACTATAGATCAAAATATTAACAGGAAATCATTAAAACAAATATGTGTTAAACACTGAAACATTAAAAGCAAAAAATATATGAGTCCAGAAGACCTCTAGAATCAATGAATTTAATATTCCTAGGGAGATCAAAAGATCAAAAGCACATAGTCAACCAAGGATTTGAACCCTACTCCCTGAAAGATTGGCATACAGAAGGAGATGCCAGGCTGGTAAATTAATTTAGCCATTGGTCGAACACCACATGCCTCCACAACTTTTTTATTCTCTACTTGAAGTTAAATAGTCTCTCAGTGATAAGTGGTCCTAAAAAGAATACCATCCAATAGAACAGATAAGGGAACTGAAGATGTGTAAAACTAATTGTTCTTACTCAGAAAATGATGTTTCGTAAGAAAGCAGTATGTTGAATTTGGTGGAAACTTAGACCTGTACAGCAATAGCCTGATCTATGTTCTTTTCAGATGTAAGAGTAAGTGATTCCTAAAACTATTTGAGGAGTATTCTTGCTTGTGCCTGAATTGCTTATCACCAAACAGACAAAACTTGAGTAAAAGCAAAGAAGGCATTAACCTTTGGTGTGAAGATACTCTCAGGAAACATGCTATTCTCAACAGATATATGATTTGGGAAAAATGTATTTTGATTAGCATGTTGAAAGATTTTAATATTTTTTTATAAGATCATTAAGGATTTGAAGGGGCCACTTACATTTTTTACTTATAATTTATGGCTTTTTTTTTTTTTTTTTTTTTTGTGAGAAACAATATCCTAGAATGATATTTGAAAATGTGGGGATTCTTGCTATTGTCAAGTGTCACCTATAGTAGAAGTAGCAAGTATTTAAGCTTAAAGTATCCTTCCAATTAAATCATATCTTCATAGCATAGACTAGACAGAGAAAACCCTGCCTGGTCTTCACTACTTAAAGATACTCATGGTGTGCCATTTTGACAGGAGCAAAGCTAGTAAAAGGGAGCTCAGAAAAAATTCATACCAAAACCACTGCCGTCGAATAGAATCCAACTTATAATAACCCCTCCTTGGGTTTCCAAGGCAGAGGAGCTCTAGTAGCATAGTGCCTGAGGCACTTGACTGCTAGGTAGAAGGCTAGTGGTTCAAATCCACCAGCCACTCCTCAGAAGGAAGATTGGGCAATCTACTTCTGTAGTGATGTTGCTGTTGTTGTTATGTACCATAGATTCGGACCTGACTCATAGTGACCCGTCCTTGGGTTTCCGAGGCAGTATCATTACAGAAGTAGATTGCCCAATCTTCCTTCTGAGGAGTGGCTGGTGGGTTTGAACTGCCAGCCTTCTGGTTAGCAGTCAAGTGCCTTAGGCACTATGCTACCAGAGCTTCTCTGCCTCGGAAACCCAAG